CCTTCTCCCACGACTCGGCCCGGCTGGCGTCAGCCGACAGGACGGTCAAGATCTGGGACGTGAGCACCGGCAAGTGCCTGTCGACACTCGAGGGCCATAGAGATTCCGTCCGGTCGGTGGCCTTCTCCCACGACTCGGCCCGGCTGGCGTCAGCGTCAACCGACGCGATGGTCAAGATCTGGGACGCGAGCAGTGGCGAGTGCCTGTCAACGCTCGGGGGCCATAGGCGTTCGGTCCGTTCGGTAGCCTTCTCCCATGACTCGGCCCGGCTTGCGTCGGCGTCGAGCGACGGGGCGGTCAAGATCCGGGACGCAAGCAACAGCGAGTGCCTCCAGACGCTCAACATAGGCAGGATACTTAACCGCATCCAATTTGACCTCACTGGCTCATATCTTTGCACTGATATTGGCACTATCGACATTAGTGCTCTATCAGGTTCGAGACCACTTCCACCTGATTCAGAACTTCACATTCCTCAATATCAAGGCCTAGCTTTAACTGCAGATAGTGTATGGATAATGAATAATTCAGAAAATCTAGTGTGGCTACCCCCAGAGTACCGACCATCATGCTCAGCAGTTTCAGGGAAAACGATTGGCATTGGTGCTAGGTCTGGAAAGGTATGGATAGGTAAAGTTGAGTTTAATGCATTCTAAGGCCTTAGAAAATTTATATCGTGACAACCTACTATCCTATATTTTTATTTTTCTCTAGCTTATACAGTGCCGGGGATTAACATGAATATATATTTGGCTAATTTGCTATAACAAAGCTTCAAATATTCTCTAGACTAAGTGATAAAGAAAGGTATTAAAGAAGCATGGGTCAAGCTTTGCCACTTCAGTGCCGTGGAGGCTGACGAACACCTCAATTACGCTAGCAGGGAGGGTGACCGACCCGCTCCTGGCCGAGGGCTGTGCGGTGGAGATTTCTGTAGATATTCCAGAGAGCTGAGTTACTGTAGTTGACTGAAGGCACGGCCAAAGCTGAGCCAGATCGCAAGACTGCGGGGCTGGGGTCAGCCAGTGTACCAAGGCTTCGCACAGCCACACGCCTGGCAGCCACTGTAACACTGTAGTTAAATTACACCTAAGTTAATGATTATGTACAACGGCCGGGAGGTCTGCTTAGTTATCCGAACACAAATTAGTAACGTTGCAGGGGGTTCGATAGTGCGGTGGCGATTTCTGTAGGTGGCTCGGATCGCAAGACTGCGGGGCTAGGGTCGGGCCGTGTGCCAAGGCTTTGCACAGCCACAGGATAAGCCCGGTATTAATCTAAGTAAATTACACCGTGCTAGTTACGTGAGACGGGTTCGGGCCGTATTGCACTAGCCTGGATTAATGAATACTTTTCTTAAACGTACCAACATGCGTGGTGACCTTGTGTAAATCATCGTGCGATAGTAGCTACGACGCTAGTAGTAGCTTCTAAATACTATAGTGAAGTTCGCAGGCTTATGTAGAACTTGTTTATAAGTTTTAGCAACAGTAAGATGGTGACCACAATACTATAGCGGTAGAAGTCTGTTTTGCGACGAAAGGAGGCTCGCTACAAATCAGGCGCGGCGGCAACAACGCGACGGTAATTTTTAGTGCGAAGGTGCCTGTGTGTTCAGGATTGCCTACAGCGCACGACCAATAGAAGATTTCAGCAGAGATAGAGGTGTACGCAGAGTATAAGTTGCCTAAAGACAAAGTACCTCTTATATTCTTCAGCACAGTGGGTTTTTCGCGACACAGGGAAGGACGTTAGTATGCTGGAGTGGGGCTTTTTGGTGTTGTGGACATTAAGGAATTTTTTGGTAAGGGTTGGCGGGGCGGAGGAGGAAGGGAAGGTTGAAAGTTCGAGATGAATGAAAGAGCACACAGAAGTCTTCAATTTGCATAGAAATCAATATATTAATATTGTAGCTTCCTACGTCGCTGAATTATCACCTTCGTCTAACGCAAAAAAAGAGAAACTTTTTTGCTAGATCTATACACGATCCAACAAACCGAAAATAAAGGCAAACAGCGTTTGCCCACAGCCAGATTCTGAAGAACCAAACCTTGTGCCAGTAAGAATCGCCGAGCCAGTGTAGGCTTTTGAAACTGTCATTCAAGACGAAAATGCAAAGAAAGAAATTGGAAAATATGTATAACCCGACTAAACGCAACCGAAACATCTTAGCTTCATCATCTAGGGTCTTTGACCTGTTTCTTGCAGGTGGAACGTGTGGCGCGAGGGTTCGCTTGACACAGGCCTCAAATTGACTGTCTATATCTTTTTGAGGCAGCTCAGGTTCTTCAATGACGGCGTTCTTTTGTGAATCAGGCATCGACTTGGAAGAAGTAAAAATATTGAGGGGTTCTAGCTCGGGAGCCCGCCCCTTCTGGCCCCAGGAGTGGTCATTGAAGTTGCTGAAGGCGTATACACTCAGTATGTTCGTGTAGGATGAGAGGACGAGCAGGTATTGAGCATATGAGGTGAAGAGATGCCACGGATCCAGGTGTAGGAAGCCAACCACTATATAGACACCAAACGACGCGATGCCCGAGACAATGATAGTAAGTTCGCCGATGTCGGAAAAATATTGGTTGATATACTCGAAGTTTTTGGACCCTGGGTTGGAGCTCTTGAATCGTATATTTCCCACTCTCTTGAATAGGTAAATCACGTTCATGATGAAGTAGAGCTGAGAGACGCCGAAAACAACAAAAGATGCAATGTAGGATCTGTGTGCTGCGCGTGGCCGAGATCCTAGTGCCAGGAGAAGTTGCAACGCAATCGTGGAGACGTAGATGACCTGCAATACCGCGTTGAATATTGGTGTGGCGTGTCCGAATGGAAATCCGCTGGCTTTTGTGCCTGGGGGTGGATCACCGGAGATTTCGTTGACTATGAACAGACTGAGCAGGTAGCCCGCAAGCGTGAACCATGCCAGGATGAAGGAAACCATGTTGTAGCAGAACTGTAGGTGAAACAGTGCAACACGCCCTATGTTGTGTCCACTCTTGAAGACTCTAGGGTATGCCCGGATAGAATATAGTGTTGCTGCAAAGGCACCGTTCAGCCACCTTCGACGTTGGGAGATGAAATCTGCCATATCGTCAGGATGGTCAGTTTCTGCTTTTGCAGCCTTTACATAGCTAAGGTGCCATTTCGAACCAGCCTTCAAGAAGGTTTCTAGGCATATAATTCTGTCTTCGGCCAGATACATATTCTTTCCGAGCGTGCCCATTCCCTCAATGCCCTTCTTCCCTAGGATATTGGCAAGAGTGTGATCTCCATGGAAATACTGCTCCAATGGCCTTCCCATGATGGCGCGGAACCTATCACAGTTATGATTAATCAATTTTATAGTTGATCTGCAAGTACCTGAATCCAGAAAATGCGCCAGGAAGCACAGTTATGTATCCTGTAGTAGCCTCTAGAGCACGATCGAGCTGATAGGAGATCTTATATTCGAAGTTTTGCGCTGCTGTCAAGGGGTTCAACAAATTCTTTAACCCTTTACCAAGCATACAGTACACTTCTCCACACGCTCCCCCAAGATCTTTATCATTATAGAAAGCCTCCCACATACCCAGAAGAGCTCTTGGCTCCAGTTTTGTCCCCACGTCGATGGTGACGACGACTTCTGGGTTGATGATCCTTCCAAAGGCAGTAAAAAGCCATCTGTGGGAATTGATCTTGCGACTATTGCGGCCTTTTAGGCAAAGGATCATTTGTACTGGAGGAAGTGTGCTTGGGCTGTTATCGTGAGGACGAATGAGTTGTTGGTTCGATGTTACGCTCAACTGTGTCGTATACTCGAACTATGAGTAATGTCAGCACTTAAAATTGGAACGCATTTATAGCAAGCTGCTGAGCATCATAGTAAACGATGCTAGGCGAGTGGCAACGGTGAGTGGCGCTTCGGTTACTTGAACGCAGCGGTGATTCTAAAGGTAACTTACGATATGGGCCACCGTTTCCCGTCCATCTATATCGCGTTTCATGATACCATCCTGATAGACGCCTAGAGTAGCTAAGGTGTCTAGGATACCCTTGTCGCAAGCCAAAATTCCATCAATAATAATGCAGACGACAATTTTTTGCCAAGCAACGCTTCCTTTATTCCAGAACTCCGATCTCTTTAGATTAACGATATCTCGCACATTCATCATGACGGAATGGAGACTCCGAGCAAGTAGCCATTTGTCTTCGTTGTACACGGTAATTGACACCATGAGCTCGGTATGGCGATTGTACATGGTAGGTCGCAAGTTATACCCATTTTTGAGGGTGAATTCGTTGGGGTCACAAGTGGCTGCAGTATCTAAGTTTTTGTTAGAGAAACAAGTGCCATGAAAGAGACGACTAACATACATCTCATTTGCGTAAATTCATCGAAACCAGTTTCTAGATTATTACGATACTTTGCCTGCGTAGCGTTCTGTACCGCACTAGGCACCGGATACTCCGCACTCAGTACGGCGCCCTGAACCAACTTCACCTTCCTGGTGATTCTTCTCCCGATGCCAGCGGTCCGCAGCGCTTCTTGGCGAAGTCGCCAATCAAGCTCATTGCTAGGCTGTAGCGAGTATGAGGATTCCAAGTTGTAGGGATTAGATGAGCGTATGGGTTTGGGACTCGGGATGTCATTTAGCCATGGGTAGTTGGCTCCGAGTGTTGTGGGAGACGGTGATGGGTTGAAGGATGGGGCAGACGCTTGCAGATCAGAAACACTTCGGTTGGGTGATGGGTTGCTCACTTCCGTACCGGAAATCGATGAACTTTGCGCTTGATTACCAGTGTCAATGTTGCTGGAAGTAGCGTAAGTTTCAGTAAGCTCATACCGTGACTGGGGTCTAGGAGCCATTTCCCCGGGATTGGAGTCCACGCGAGAGAATGAACGACAAGTTTTCAACGACTTTCAGTATCTGGTGGATGGGCCTGCTCTTATCGCGTCGATGGGTTTGATCAGTCTAGGCAGCTATCGGTGATACCAACGAGGCTGAGCTGAGATGGGACTGTGGCTATGTCACACTTAGCCCCCGCCACCTGCCTTATAAGGTTGACAATGGAAACTAGCATTGGCGAGAGAATTCAAATGCAAGCCGGATACTACTTTGTATGTAGGAGATGGCATGTACGGCATACTGTGCGTCGAAAGACGGCTGCCTAGAAAATTGTGTCGCACGTGTCTCACGCGATATCATACCCATGTACTGCACTATTCACTCATTAGGCATAGCTCCTATCTTGTACAGTATATAGTCAGCTCAGAGCTCTATCAAGCTCCTCAGACCTACAATACACTCGTTCAATCCACTTTGTTTGGATCTCACTACCTTGTCGACTCGCTCCCCACACGACCCCTCCTCAGCTCATGCAAGAAATTGCCGAGCCCCGCAGTTGCCTGGCGTGCATCGCACAACCTCTTCTTTTCGCCTTTGACCTTGGCCCTTGCAGTGAATCGTCACATTAGAGGAGAATCATGGTTCAAATTTCTTTGGTCATCCTCCACATACAGAAATGTAGTCGCAAATAGAGAGGTAGTGTAAGCATGCAGCTATGTAGAAAGCTGATGATGTGAAGTGTATTGTTCTCGGTCTAAGTGCTCTGTTGCAGAGTATTTATTTACACCTATGATGACAGGGGCAGTGAGGGCCATGGCAACGGCTAAGGGGATATAGTGATGGTAGTAGAAGCTATAGTAATAGTAGTAGGGGCTGTTGAGGCACAGGGAAGGAAGGTTTCTGTGCTAGAAATGCGACAGTAGCTACTCTAGGTATAGTACAAGTCTATGGCTTTGCGGCCGTATTCCATTGACTGAAATGTTGGGTAAAGTGTGCTAACGTATATCCTTCAATCCAATGTAAAACCTGAGCTGTTGTTTCTTCTCTGCGGTCGTGCCATTAGGAGGCAGGCTTAGTGCTGTTAACATGCGATCTAGCGCGGGACTTGACGTATTCGAAAGCCAAGCAGGTGTGGCAGGAAACCCTTAGATGTCGGCGTTTGTTGCAAATTCACGGAGTTCGACAAGGGCATCGGATCTTCCGATACCAGAGTTATAAAGGTAGGCAATAGAATTGTACTCGCTGTATAGTTATAGCCAGATAGCAGATAAGCAGGACATCTAAATAGTATTCTCTTGCGATGTCCCATGGCGTGTGGTGAGATGTGGCCAAGTAGTTAGGAAACCCCTACACAACCCATAATCTTCTTGAGACGTTGTCGGCACTGGGCCAAGTAGAGCAGAAGTAATAATCCCTTCGCCTTTGGTAGTAGTTGGTGCAGGTCTCGTCCCTGCACTGGGGCCTGATATGGCTTGCCTGCGGGTGAGGGTATGTGTGGGTATCCATGGCGTGGAGCCAATGGTCGGTGGGGATGATCTTGACGGCAGGGTCCGTAATGGCCATCGTCATACAGACCATAACGTCTTTCTCGTAGCTGACTACAAGACATTGCGGTAGTTTCCTGCAGCCGCTGCCACCTCCCAGGTAATGAGGCCTGATGTCTAGCTTCTTGCCATTTCTTCCTCTTCCATAGTGATGATAGAGCCATAGCCACGGTTCTGAAGGGAGCGGCAGGGATGATGCTAGTGGAGGGGCTGTCTTATTGTCCTCTCCAGTCTTATAGTAAATAAAGGGTCCTATACGGGACGATAGGCTGAAACACGCCATCTCGGGTAGAGCGCCCGGACGGCACGGAGGGTACAGGGTATCGGCGGGCCCCAGACGTCGAAGTCTCTGGAACTGCGCCCTTAGCTCTGGGGCGGGTATTCGCCCGTCTGCGGTGAGAGCGAGCGCGTCGATGCGGCTGTGGGGTGTCCACTCCAGATTAAGAACCACAATGTCCGAGTCCCAGGTGCCGGTGCGGAGACGGGCTCGGGGCCAGGTCGGCGCCTCTGAGTCTGTGCAGCGCATGTCATGGCTGGCATCGTGACACTCAATATTGAAGCTGTCGAGGCAGGCTTGCCAGTCTCCGCCTCCGCGCTGCTGCTGTCGCCAGTTGTCGATATGGGCCTTGATGCTGGCCCAGGCGATCTGCACGTGCTCACACAACTGCACTGATCCCTGCTGGCCTAGACACCGTCGTTCCGGTTGATTCCCCCGTGCCTGCTGGTAGGTGGAGGAAAATTGGCAGACATCGTGGAGACTGTGGCAGGCGTAGCAGTAGAGCCTGCGGTAGTGCAGGGGCTCGATACTACTATCGGGGAGTTCCCGGCCATTCTGCTGGAATTTGCAGTCGTCGAAGAGTTGATGCTCATAGGCGTCGTTCCAGCGCCTGCAGTTGTCGCACCGCCCGTCTCTCTGTAGGAGCCGTCGAAATCGTAGCCTTGGAGCATCAGGAAGAGAGAAAGCGTCGCCTCTGATGGCTATTGGACAATCGCGATACCACGTGCCTCTCCAAACGACCGATTGACGGTTGAGAAGGCGCAGGAATGTCCTGGAGACTATCCGGAGACATTGCAGCGCAACGACATCGTCGCGGAGGAAGTCGAGTATACACAGAAGGAGCTCTTCCGGTAGCCGACTAGTAAGGGGACAGAAGCGATTGTTGTAGACCTGTGCAGCTATAAGTGGGTCCATGGAGCGCTGCAGCTCGTATAGTGTGAGAAGGAGGGCTTGCGTCCGTTGATGGTCCCGCTTCTCTCGCTGAATACGCCTCTCGGCTTCGCGTGCCTCTGCCTCCTTAATACGCTGGCGTTGTTCGCGCCGCTTTTGGATCCATCGTGAAAGAACAAACATTCTCAAGGCCTCCAACGGAGTCGGCACGGGGGGATAGAGCTTGGGCGGTTGGAGACCACGTGGGTAAGTCGACTCATCCGAGGCTAACTTAAGCGCCTAGGTCGTCTCTGAATCACGTGCTTTGCCCCTCCCGACTTTCCTGCATTCACCGACGTGATAAGGCTATCGATTGTCGTGCCCCTTTTGGCATTTTATCGCGTTTTCCTTCGCGGTTTCGTTTTAATGTTATCCCCAGCCTACCCGTCTATTTTACGCAGTTGTTTGGCCTGTCCTTGTTTACCCAGTTGCCTTGCCTGCTGACGGAAGACCACTACTACTGAACACTAGACCTTACAGGAAGCAAAATGGGCACTTTGATGGGCTCCACGCGGATCGCGACTAGCTACTGTGCTGTTGTTTTACTAAGTCAGTGTGTCCAACCGTTAGTACACCTAATAGTCCAGTACTGCAGTACACTTTAGTCGCGTACGTACGTACAGAGCGTCTACTTAGTATACTGTACTATCTATAAGGCTGCTGTACTAACTGTTTACAGTAGTTATATAGAATTTTTAGTAGTTTTAAGTAGTTAAAGGTAGGTTACTAAGAGCTAGAGGGCTTATGTTTAAAGATTAACATAAAGAGTACTATTAGTGCCTATTTTCTTAGTAATTTTTTAATAAATTTAGAAACTATGCTATTTACTTTATTCTTTTACTTATTTTAATGTCTTAATTTTTATTTTAATTAATAATATAGTTATTTTAACATGTTACTACTTTATAGGCTTTATTTCTATAGGCTTTATCCTTATAAGCCTTATTCTTACATATCTAATCTAGCTGTTCTGCTACCTAGATATATTATGCTACCTTATTCTAACACTTAGAGAAGGCTTGTATAGCCTTACCTAGCCTATTTACACTATTCTTGTGTAAAGCAACTTCTTTAAAGTATATATAAGATACCTAGGCTAAGAAGCACTTAAATAATGCCTACTATAATATTTAAATTACCTTTAGAATTAACTAGAATAATATATAGTGTTCTAGCATTAAATTAGGCGCAGAGTAGCTAGAATATTCTATAAAGCATAAGTTATAACTTCTTAAGTGTTAGAAGGTGTTAGTTATGTAAAGATATAGTGTAGATCTACAGCATGTTACTAAGGTAAGTAAAAAAAAGTAGCTATAGCTCTATTAAGCTTACTATATTATATTTCTTTTTACACTATAAAGTTAACACCTATATAAAAGAATACACTAGCTTTTATATGTCACGATTGTGCACGAGTAAGGTTATAGAGCTTCACGGAGGTCTAGTTTAATTACTATGTAAGGTATTATAGTAGGTACAAGACATTGTGTAAGGAACAGAAAGGTTTAAAAGGAAATTAGTAATTAAATACTTAGCTTAAAAGTCTAAGTACTTTAGGTATAAATTAAGCCTATTTTAAGTTTAGTTAGTGTTAAGGCAGTTTATACTTAAGTTTATATCTATGTTATGTTGTATTTATATTAGACATGCACTAATAATACTTTAGTACATGTCTAATACAGTTATGTCTAGGATCTAAGAAGGATACTGTAACAGTACTTCTCTCTTATTAAAAAGGGAATCCTTTACATTAGTAGTTCTAGCATTAAGTTGTCTTTATTAGAGTACAGGTTTAGTTTAGATAGGTATTAAGTGTAGAATTAGGTTACTATAAAGTTCTTTTATAAAGCTTTTATAGGTTCCTACAACAGTTTATTATATCTAGTTTATTTTATAAAGTATTTATAAATATGTTTCTTTTTATTAAACTAGATTTATTTAACATCTTTTATAATATATTCTAGTTTATTATTTATAATAATAAGTTTAGGTAGCAAGTTTAGCTGTTTAAGTAGATAGTTAGATTTAGAAGCTACTTAGCGCAGCAATAATACATAGAACACAGGGTGTATCTTTATGCTGTTAGGTAGGATTAATTAGTAAGTGTGTAATAAAACTATATAAGCTACTATAAAAGGGCTAAAGTTTTTTTAATTAAGTTTCTTTAATTATTAGTTTATTTAGATATTTCTAGTGTCTAGCTAGACCTTCTTGCTAGCTGCATACGCAGGGGCAAAGGTTTAGAATTAGTTTATGTACTTTTATTAAAGAGCTTAAGCTTATATAAGCTTTTTATAAACATATTTAGATATATTTTAAATCTTATTAAGAAGTTTATTTACATTTATTACTTATATAAATTAATAAGTTAGTTAGAGGGTATTTAAAAGTAGTTTAAATTCTATTTAGAGGTAGTATCTATAGTTTACTAAAAACAAAGATACTTATATTAATTTAAATGTTATGTTATTAGCTTTAAACTATACTATAGCTAACTATTTTACCTAGTTATCTTACTAGTAGTTTATGTACACTTATAAAACTTATTTTATTATAGTGTTTATATTCTTAGTCTAGCTATTAGTCTCTAAGTAAAAAGCTGTAGATAAATAAAGAATAATTTAAAGCTATTTATAAAGTTTATTCTAAAAGGCTAAAACAAACTATGTACCTCTGTCTAATATAATTATGTTAGGCAGGCTATAGTAAACTTATACATATTAGTAGAATAACTAGGCTATATTAAGAGTAGTTATAAAGGAACATAGTATTAAGTGTTAATACTTAGTTAAGTAATTAATAACTACTATAATATTTATATACCTTTTAGATAAAGGTAAGTTTATAATAAAGTTAATTAATATATTTTTTAAGCTTATTTAAAAATTAGAAGTAGTTTAAGTAGGCTATTATACTTTTTTTAAAAGGCTTTTACTTTATAGCAAGTATAGCAACATAATACATATTAGTGTACAGTATAGAACATGCAGGGCTAGTAGTACTCTCTCTATAGTAGGTTAAAAGTCTTTCCTCTGCCTAAGTGTCCTTTAACAGGCAAGTTATGTATAATTTAAAGTAGTTTAATTTTTAGTTTATTAAAATTAAAAATTATAAGTTAGTTATAGTAATATAGCTTACTATTTTAGTTTTTATAGTTAGCTAGTGTTACCTTTTTTAACTAACTAGCGCTATTTTAGAGCAGGTTTAAAGTTTTTTAAATAAATTTATTATTTGGATACTTATTAGTAATAATTTAATTAATTATTTAATTTATTTTATTTAAGTTAAGGTCTAAAAATAGCTTAAGTTAAAGTAAAGTTTAGTGTTAAGCCTTTTACACTTTTTCTTAAGTAAAGACATTTTAGAATTGCTTTATAAAAGCATTTAGTTTCCCTTTATTTTAACTAAAATAATAAGTAATCTTAAAATTAAAATAAAATAGGTATTTAAACTAATAAGCTTATTAGTAGCTAAGTTGTTTTATAGTTATAAAGTACTATAAGTTCTTATAGTTAAATAAGACTTATATTAGATGCGCTGCACCTTCTAGTTTAGGTTACTATTATTTAAAGTAGTATACTATAGTAAGTAATTCTTTATTATAAATCTTATAATTACTTTTTATAAGGCTTATTCTTTTTAAGAAGTATGTAATAGGCCTAATAGTCCTATCTAGTTTAGTCTAGAAGAGAACTTCTGCTACTATGTAGTCTAAGGCATTAGCTTTTACAAGTATTAGTAGTTTAAAGTTAAAGTAGTAGAGTATTAAAGCTTTAGTAAAAGCTTTTTTTAGCTAGTTAAAAAACTATTAGTAATTTAAGTTAAAGTTAAATTAAATTTTTTTTTAATAAGTGTAATTATAAAGCTTACTTACTATAAAAAGTTATTAATAAATTATTAGTAAAAGTTAGTAAATTTTATAAAAGCTTAAACATTTTTTATATTCTTTAGGTATTACTAATCTAGCATAGTTTAAACTTTAATAGGGTCTATTTAAATGCTATCTGTAGAGATTACATATCTTAGATACATAACCTTTAATTAGTAGAACTTACATTTATCTATATTAAGTTATAAACTTACTTCTTCTATAGCCTTTAGCACTAGGCGTACATGCTATTTATGCTTTAAAAGGCTATTACTATAAATTAAAATATTATTAATATATATAATGTAGAACATGTCTAGGTAGAGTTAAAGTAAGTTATTTATAAAATGTTAAAAAGTACTAGGTGTGTTAGCTAAGCTAAAGAGCATTACTAGGTACTTAAATAGTCTATATTAAGTCTAAAATGCTGTTAGCTACTTATTACCTTTTACTATTCTTAGCTTATTAAAGGCAGTAATAATATTTAACTTTATAAAATACTTTACTTTACTTAGTTAGCTTAGAGTTTTTTATAAAAAAAGAAATTAAGTATTAGTTTTTAATAGTAATAGCATTTAGTCTTTAGTAGTTAACATAGAATTAAAGCCTACTTCTAAGTTTTTTTATAAATAGTATAAGTAACACTACTAGTAAGAAGCTAGCTTAAATAAACTTTTTTTTTAAGTTCTTATTAAAGTATTTTTAAAGCACTTTTAATTTATTTAGTAACATCTTATATAGTAGCCTATAACTAGGTTATTTACTAGGCTTAAAAGTTATTTAGTAATTATATAAACATTATATTAAAAGCTTATTAAACTTATTTTAAAAAAAAACATGTAATAAGTTATAGTAGTTTTAAAAAACTATTATTTTTAAGTTAGTACATTTTTAAAAAGCTAAAGCTTAGTCTATATTAAAAATTATAACTGCGTAGATTTTATAATCTAGTTATTAAGCTAAGGTTATAAATAAAGTAGGTCTTATATAGCAGATGTCTATCTACTATTTAAGTCCTAGTTTATATTTAAATTAAGTAAGTAAAAATTTTTTAAAAGCTTTTTTTTTTTAAGTTTAAGTAGTTATTAAATTATTTTATGTAACTTATCTTAGTAAAAGGCCTAGCTTATTAGCCTTACTTAGGTAGTTCTTCTCTAAGTTATTAAAAAGTAAGTCTAAAAACCTTCTATATTAAGTGCTACTTAGGTGTTATTTAAGTGTAAGCATAAGCATATATCTTAGCATTAAAAAA